AGCAAGTGTTAAATAAAAAGTTTCATAGATGCCATTCTTAGCTAAACTGTAATCTCTGGCACACATGATGTAATTGATTGGCTGACTATAGACAAACAAGAAGTAGACACTCTTTATTAGTTTCTTTTATTTTATTAGTTGGCATTTGATACATATAACATATTTCATATTCCAACCTTGTCAAATAGAATTGTACAATTGCTACCACAATCCGTTTCCAGTCATTCTTTTTCTACATGAACTCCTTGAAATATATTAGCCTCTTAATATATTTGAGTAACACAGTTTTCCTTCATTTTGGGCCCATCAGATTAAAATTTTTGTCCCAAGAACAAGGTGCATCTAAGATGTCATTTGAAGCCCAGATTTTTTGCAGCCAGATATGTCCACTTCCACCAATGAAGTATTTTACTTTAAAGTAATGAACATCTATGGTAGATTTGAGGAGATCTGGTGGTGTAGTGGTTACACGTTGAATTGCTAACTTCAAGGTCTGCAGTTCAAAACCAACACTCACTCCTCAGGGGAAAGATGGGGCTTTCAACCTGTGGAGAGTTACAATCTCAGAAACTCACAAGGGCAGTGCTACCTTTCCCCGTAGAGTTACTATAAGTTGGCATCACCTTGATGTCACTGACATTTTTTTGTTTTTTGTTTTTATGCTTGTTTTGATAGTATAGCATGGACCAAGTCTCTTTAAAAAAATTTTTCATGGCTTTCATTTCAGCTTGCTAAAAAAACCTTGAGTTCCTCACTCTTCCTGTCTAAAATTCTATTATTGTCCATAGCACTAATTTCAACTTAATCCATACCTATTCCATATAGTCCCATAAGAGTGCAAAGTCAAAATGGCAGTGAGGTGGTTAGGATTCATGAAAAAAGCAAAGCAGTTAGGGAAGTGATCTTACTGCTTGTTTTGGCTTTTATCATTTTAGATGCTGAAAGTATTTATTAAATTTGAATCAAATTCAGATTGAATAAAGAAAGAAACTCGTTCTCCCTTTTAAAATGTAGGCCACTGCTCTGTCCCTCCTAGATGAGGGAGCATGTTATGTGACTTCTTTCTCCTTTGAAAATCTTAAATTTTTAGGACATTTGTCAAAATAATAAGAGTTAAGGTTTTGTTTGTTCATCATTTTAGGTACTATTTTCAAAATACATTCCTGAAATGGTGGAACTTTTTGCTAACAAGAGAAAATATATCACTTCCTATGAAGTGGTCAAAGGGAAAAAGTAAGTATCTTTTAAAATATTATTTCTAAAATATAAGGGATTCGATTTCACTGAAGTCCTTGGTATTTGAATGAGAGAGAAGAAACAAAATGCAACTACTAACAACAAACCAACCCACTGCATCAAGTCAATTCCAACGTATGGCAACCTTCTAAAACAGAGTGGTCTGCTTTTTAGGCTTTCTGAGACCAGAAATCTTGATCGAGGCGAACCGTGCCATTTTCTCCCCTAGAGCAGCTGGGGTGTTTGAACCCTGAATTGCAGTTAGCAGCTAGTGTTTATCCACTGCTAGATTTCTAGGTCACTCATTTAAGAGAAGAAAGCATCTAAAATGGCAGATAATGTCATCTCACGGTTAATGAGTATTAGGGAGGTGTATGGGACATGCTAAATTAGCAAATAAGATCTGGAAAGTTTAAAATGAGCTTAAACTAAAAGTGCGTGTTGGGTGTAATGTAAGAAGCAGTAGAGGAAGTAACAAGTCTGAGAATGTAATTACCCAAGAAACTGAGAGTTGCTTTTCACCACGCAATCTACATGCCTGTGCCTGTGCCTGTCTGCAGCAGACTCGCCC